TTTCAAAAATATGGAGTTCCATTAAAAAGTTTAAAAGGATAGGTACATCTTCCAACAAAAATTTTAATGATGACTGGGTACAAAGTTTCTTAGATATGTTGACAGCTCCATCACAATGCAATGATGCAAATTTAGTTGATATATTGAATCAATCTGATAAAAATGACAGTGACTCCTTTCTCAACAGACCCTTTACACTGGCCGAGCTTCATATTTCGCTTAAGAGTAGGAAAGATACAACACCAGGTTTGGACAATATTACATATAAATTAATAAAACAGCTACATCCAAATGCAATTAAAATACTATTAGATATATACAATAAACTTTGGGAGAATTTAATAATACCGGAATCCTGGAAAACCCAGTGTGTTATTCCAATTTTGAAAACTAATAAGGATATTAACTGTGCATCATCTTATAGGCCCATTTCCTTGTCATCGTGTCTAGGCAAACTATTTGAAAACATGTTAAAATTACGTTTGGACTACTTTACTGAAACACAGAATAAGTTGCCAGATATTCAGTTTGGATTCAGAAAAGGCAAAAGTTGTTCTGAAAGCTTTGTAACTCTTATATCCCTATTAAAAAAAGCAAAATTAAGTCATTCCAATGTTGTGTGTGTATTTTTAGATGTTAAAGGTGCTTTCGATAATGTAAATATAGAATCCTTAATTCATGTCCTACATAATTTAAATTTCCCCTGCAAAATATTAAACTGGATTTTTAATTTTTTAAAAAACAGAACTGTTTATGTTAAGTATAATAATATCCTACATGGACCTAAATATGTTAACAGGGGAACAATGCAGGGAGCAACCCTGTCCCCTCTATTGTATGGCTTGTATACATCTGAAATCCTCAATTATGTGGATACTACAAAAGTTAACATACTACAGTTTGCAGATGATTTGCTTTTATACACTGAGAGTCAAAGTTTGCCTTTGGCTATAAATAATATAAATACTGCACTAAATCAATTACAAAAGTATTATTCAAATATTCTAAAACTAGAAATCAGTTCAGAAAAAAGCTCTGTGTTAGTATTTAGTAGAGATACATTCACACAATCTAATCTTAAAATTATGTATCCCATCAAAAACATAAATGTGAAATGATAGCCGAGTTTAATATTATGATATATGCCTTGATTGTTGACTTCTACGACAAAAGAGATGAGATCTAAATGGGTGCCAAGTTCAATGGTCTGTCCTGAAATGTATTTATAACAATATAAAATATCATTTCTTCTTATAACTTAGGATAATATACCGTAGCCTAAGGTCTAACTTGGGCAGTTCTCATATACCAATTATTACTTTCGATTGCTAGTTACTATTAATATTAAAATAGGAACCGACAAGTAACATGTTTAGAACTTGCGAAGGCTACAGTATATTTCGTATATGAAAACTAGCCAAGTTAGACCTGGCTACAGTATATTATCCTAAGTTATAAGAAGAAATGATATTTTATATTGTTATAAATACATTTCAGGACAGACCATTGAACTTGGCACCCATTTAGATCTCATCTCTTTTGTCGTAGAAGTCAACAATCAAGGCATATATCATAATATTAAACTCGGCTATCATTTCACATTTATGTTTTTGATGGGATATCATTACTTTTTGTACATAAATTATACTAGGTACATATTTATAACTAAATTAATACCAAATTATTTTTGATAAATTACTGTATTTTCGTATATTTACGGGGTATAATTGTCTTTTTTTTGTGTTATTTTCTATATTTTCTTGTAACTTTTAAATGTTGAAGTCCAAAGCCAATTCAGTATCAGGAATTTTTGGGCAAATCGGGGCGGTATAACGTCCACAGATGGTTGTACTCTACAATAGAGCTCTCGTGACTTGGATCTAAATTGTTAAGACGTACCCCATCTAAGGTTTTAACTCTGGAGAGTCCAACGTAAACCTGCCCTTTATTAAATATGGAGGAGCCTATGTTGAGAAGAGGACTGCCAAAACTAAGGCCTTGTGATTTGTGGATAGTAATAGCATATGTTAAGCAAATACGGAATTGTTCTCTTTCAACATATACATTATTTAATATCTGAAACTTGGTATTGACACGTTATAGTTCGTAAAGACGATTATGTAACAAATTGACTGTTATATATTGAATTCTCAAGAAAACAATTTGTTACCAATGAGTTCTCATTCTCGAGTTAACTATACATTCCTACTTATAACTATACTAAAATTGTTATTAATTTTTGGTTTAAACTATTGTCGATACCATACGTATTTACTAAAATAATGTAATAATAATATAACCACAAATATATAAGTATAATTTAAGAAAGCTATAAATTTCGTAGCATAAATCGCAACCTTATAGGTTAGATATCGAGAAACAAAACATTGAGGCATATGAGGGTGGCTGCCATTCGCTCGGACAGGTTCGCGTCAACGTTTTATCGCACCGCTCCCACACGGCGCCGCCGCGGCGCCCTATACCGAAATGTCTATTATTTATAAAAATAATGATTTTACACTATCGATGTGCGCTAAATATTGAAATAATAATTAATACCAAATCTCAGTTAATAACATAATAAATACGAAATTCGACTATACTCCTAGTTATAAGTACGAGTATATTTTAGACAGAATCTAAATTATAGCAACTAGTGTTTACCGCTCAATGCAATATTTGAAGTTTGCTAGTTATCGACACTGATGTGAAGGGGTCAACGTAAATTGGTAATGATCGACGTTTTCATACAATATTACTTTCCGTCCAGTACAAGATGAAATTTTTCGCCAGGGATCAATGTCAATTGGTGGTTATCGACGTTTTCATAGAATTTTAGTATTCGTCCAGTATAAGTTGAAATATAATCAATTAAAGTGAAAAATTGTAGTAAAATGATAACAATGTACCAGTTTCAGATTTTTTCCTTTATATTCACCTAATTACCTATCTGCATGCCAAATTTGAACTTCCTAGGTCATCTGGAAGTGGGTTATAATTTTGATCTATAGTTGATCAGTGATAAAAATGACAATTTTTGGACATTAATATCTAAATAACCGTTTGAGATATGTTTATGAAATTTGGAACACATATTTATCTCGCAAGTCTCAATATATGAACCAAATTTGACAGGTTTGTGTGATAGAGTTTTTGAGTTATGAGGGGGTCAAAAGTGGCTCCAAATGGTTCGTGTAAATATACACACGGTGCTGCAAGCCAGTTTACTTGAAACTCGGCTTGACACGCTGCCGCGTGTCTAGATAATAACAAAATAATACGCATTGTCCATCAACACAAATTTTTAGGTATAGTTTTGGACAATAAATTAAAATTTGATAAACATATAGATTACATTTGTCAAAATGCAATGAGGAGCATAAATATTTTGAGATGTTTAGCAGGGACTTACTGGGGCTCTGATCCCAAAACACTCAATATACTATATAAAAGCATAGTCAGAAGTCATTTTGATTATAGTAGTTTAGCCTATATGACTGCTAGTACCACATTGTTGAGGAAATTAGATGTTATACAAAATATAGGGTTGAGAATCATTAGTGGAGCTATGCGTTCCACACCTATAAATAGTATGGAAGTTGAAAATTGTATACCTCCATTGTCTCTAAGACGTTTGCAACTGGCAGAAAGATTTTGTTTAAAGGAATTATCTTCCAGTAATAGTATTGTGCTTAAAAATATTTTATATCCTGCACAGCTTTCTCAGTTAGTTGTAGGTTCCCCCATATCAGCATCTGTTATTATTTCAGGATCATTACCTGAAATTTCAATAATAATGACACATGTTAAAAATGCTACAGGTGGAATATATATAAATGACAAATGGCCAGTATACAAATGTCCATATGATTCACTAATCTGTTTCCTTGACACTACATTTCATTTAGATTTAATATATAACAAATATGACTTTACAGAATTTTTAAATAAGAAATCAGAATTTTATGTTATTTATACCAATGGTTCTAAAAATTTAAATGATGTTAAAGCAGCTTATTATGATCCACAAAAGAAATATACTAAATGTATTAAACTCAAAAGTAATTGCAGCATCTTTACAGCCGAAAGTTATGCTATATTAAGTGCTTTGTTATATGTTAATAACCTTGTAAATAATGTAAATATACTAATAGTTACTGATTCGAAGAGTGTATTGGAGACTTTATCCAGTGGCGATTGTACATATAAACAAAATTATATTATATATGAAATAAAAAATAGGTTAATAACTTTAATTAAAAATAAGAATGTAGAATTTGTATGGGTACCCTCACACAGTGGCATACCTGGAAATGAGGTCGTTGACTTGGCAACTCGTCAACAATATGATGAAGATCAGAGAGACATTTTGAAAGTGCCATTTACCGACTACTACCAATATTTTAAAAGTAACTTACGAAGAGTGTGGAAAGAGTACTGGAACATAAGCACAGAAAATAAAGGAAAATGGTATGCAGAATTACAGCCAGACTTACCAGTGACACCTTGGTACAGCAAATTCAAATATTACAATAGAAAATTTATTACTATCATCAATCGTCTACGTTTCGGCCATTGTTTAGTTCCATCCCATCTCAACAGAATTAAAATCACAAATGACAACAGATGCAACCACTGTTTCAAGATAAATGCTGACATAAACCATATTATATTTGAATGCCAAGTTTTCAACATACAACGGTTGATTCTTGTCAGTGACATTAGTGACATCGCAAAGGAACACTCACAAAGTATTCCCCGCCGCGTTCAAGATTTGCTATCTCACTTTGCATATTTTATTCCAATATATAACTACATTGTACATACTGTGGAAAAAATTTAATATTAATGAATTATTACTAAAATTGTATTGTCTAAGCTTATATAATAGTTTATTTCTTATGTTTTGTATTAAATTCATTATAAAAATGTGTTCGACTGAAGGACTTGTATCCATGGTCATGAATAAAGCATTATTAAAAAAAAAAGAAATTTGTCTCTGAAGCTTTTGAATAGTATAATTTTTGCTCTGAATTAAAAAAACCCGTTATAAATAATTGTATACACTGACCACTGTCAAATTCCCTAAAATACACTAAATCCATTACTGGTTTTATTATTCTATCACAATATTATATATGAAGTGAAAAAGTCTGTTAGGTTGCCGAAATGCATTCAATCACCGACCACCACGACGCACAAGTAAAGGAGGAGCCTTGGTACTCAGTATCAGATGTAGCGGCAGTCAATATACGGGGAGACAATCTGCATGTTACTGGTGACACTAAACAACAGTCGCTTCCACTAGATGAGGAGTATCGGCAATACAATGAAGGTAGAAGTACTGAAGAGGAGCAGTGGACTGAAACAGAGGGTAATGGGCAGGACGTAGATAGAGTAGTGGTTGTAAAGACTGAGTATGTTGATGAAAACGAAGAACCAGCAGATGTTAATGATATATTTTGTGGTGAGGTAAATGATAATGTCCTAGAACTGTATGAGGATCATGAAATAAAAAACGAGATGGTTATAGGACCTACAGTTGTACAAGTGGAGTCTAGTAAATGCATGAAGCATGATATACAAAAATCAATACAACAGAAGAGAAGAGGACCATCTAACAGTAAACAAGTCCATATGTGTGATATATGCAGGAAGACATTCAAGGATCATAAAACACTAAAAGACCATGTGTTATTGAAAAACCATGTTGTTGAAAAGCCATATAGTTGCAATGTTTGTAACAAATGTTTTAAAAACAAGAACTATCTACACAGACACATGTTGGTACATTCCAATGAAAAACCATACAGTTGTGATGTTTGTAACAAATGTTTTAGATACAAGGACTATCTAAGCACACACATGCAAATACATACCAATGAAAAACCATATAATTGTGGTGTTTGTAACAAATATTTTAAACTGAAGAATACTTTGAAACAACACATGTTGGTACATTCCAATGAAAAACCATACAGTTGTGATGTTTGTAACAAATGTTTTAGATACAAGGACTATCTAAGCACACACATGCAAATACATACCAATGAAAAACCATATAATTGTGGTGTTTGTAACAAATATTTTAAACTGAAGAATACTTTGAAACAACACATGTTGGTACATTCCAATGAAAAACCATATAATTGTGGTGTTTGTAACAAATATTTTAAACTGAAGAATACTTTGAAACAACACATGTTGGTACATTCCAATGAAAAACCATACAGTTGTGATGTTTGTAACAAATGTTTTAGATACAAGGACTATCTAAGCACACACATGCAAATACATACCAATGAAAAACCATATAATTGTGGTGTTTGTAACAAATATTTTAAACTGAAGAATAATTTGAAACAACACATGTTTGTACATACCAATGAAAAACCATATAGTTGCGATGTTTGTAACAAAGGTTTTAGAATTAAGATAAAATTAATCAGGCACATGTTTGTACATACCAATGAAAAGCCATACAGTTGTGATGTTTGTAACAAATGTTTTAGAACAAAGAGTAATTTAACCATACACATGCTTATACATTCCAAAGAAAAGCCATATGGTTGTGATGTTTGTGACAAATGTTTTAGAAACAAGGACTATCTAACCAAACACATGCGTACACATTCCAAAGAAAAACCATATAGTTGTGATGTTTGTAACAAATGTTTTAAAGTGAAGATTAGTTTAAAACACCACATGCTTGTACATACCAATGAAAAACCATATAATTGTGGTGTTTGTAACAAATATTTTCGAATAAAGGGACGTTTAACCACACACATGCTTGTACATACCAATGAAAAACCATATAATTGTGGTGTTTGTAACAAATATTTTCGAATAAAGGGACGTTTAACCACACACATGCTTGTACATACCAATGAAAAGCCATACAGTTGTGATGTTTGTAACAAATGTTTTAGAACAAAGAGTAATTTAACCATACACATGCTTATACATTCCAAAGAAAAGCCATATGGTTGTGATGTTTGTGACAAATGTTTTAGAAACAAGGACTATCTAACCAGACACATGCGTACACATTCCAAAGAAAAACCATATAGTTGTGATGTTTGTAACAAAAGTTTTAAAGTGAAGAGTAATTTAAACACACACTTGCTTGTACATTCAAATGTAAAGCCATACAGTTGTGATGTTTGTAACAAATATTTTGCAACGAAGACATGTTTAACCAGGCACATGCTTGTACATAGCAATGAGAAACCATACAGTTGTGATGTTTGTAACAAATGTTTTAGAATAAAGAGTAATTTAACCATACACATGCTTATACATTCCAAAGAAAAGCCATATGGTTGTGATGTTTGTGACAAATGTTTTAGAAACAAGGACTATCTAACCAGACACATGCGTACACATTCCAAAGAAAAACCATATAGTTGTGATGTTTGTAACAAATGTTTTAAAGTGAAGAGTAATTTAAACACACACTTGCTTGTACATTCAAATGTAAAGCCATACAGTTGTGATGTTTGTAACAAATATTTTGCAACGAAGACATGTTTAACCAGGCACATGCTTGTACATAGCAATGAGAAACCATACAGTTGTGATGTTTGTAACAAATGTTTTAGAAAAAGGAACTATTTAAGCAAACACATGCAAATACATTCCAAAGAAAAACCATACAGTTGTGATGTTTGTAACAAATGTTTTAAACTGAAGAATAGTTTAAAACAGCACATGCTTGAATATACCAATGGAAAACCATATAGTTGTGATGTTTGTAACAAATGTTTTGGAATGAAGGTAAATTTAATCAGGCACATGATTATACATAACAAGGAAAAATCATATAGTTGTGATGTTTGTAACAAATGTTTTAAAGTGAAGTATGATTTAAAAAGGCACATGCTTGTACATTCAAATGATAAACCATATACTTGTAATGTTTGTAACAAATGTTTTAAATTGAGGAATAATTTAAACCAGCACATAGTTGTACATAGCTATGCAAAGCCTTATAGTTGTGATATTTGCAAGAAATTTTTTAGAAACAAGGAGTATCTATCCAGACACGTGCATAGACATCGCAATGAAAAGCCGTATAGTTGTGATGTTTGTAACAAACGTTTTAAAGTGAAGTATGATTTAAAAAGGCACATGCTTGTACATTCAAATGATAAACCATATACTTGTAATGTTTGTAACAAATGTTTTAGAACCAAGAGCAATATAACCGCACACATGCTTATACATTTCAATGAAAAGCCATATGGTTGTGATGTTTGTAACAAACAGTTTAGAAATAAGGGCAATTTAAAGAGACACGTGTGTGTCACCGTTAATAACATTTCATGATTAATAATTTTATATTGTTATTTTGTACATAAGTATGTACAAAGTGGCAGCTCTGTCGTGCAATTGTACATCTGTTCACTTCAGAAAAAAAATATATTTTAAGTATTTTTTGCTTTATGTCATTGTGTACTGTGCAACCTCTGTTTAGATGTAGACTCCAGGAGTTTAAGCTCAGTATATTGCAGGTAACAAGCTATGGATGTTATTAATCAGTCAGTGAATTGTCATAATATTTCTGAACCACCTCGCCCTACCATGTGGTGGTGAAACCTTATTTTCTATTTTATTTCCTCAATTTCTCAATATGCTTGTACATTGCAATGAAAGACCATGTAGTTGTGATTTTTGTAACAAATGTTTTATAATCAAGCACATGGACGTACACTCCAATGAAAACTCATTGGATTGTATAAATTATAAAATATTAAAATTAAGAACCTATTAAAAAATGTAAGACTAATAAAAACTATTAGTTGTATAAAAATTGTTTTGGTATCGAAAAGTGAAATAACAAATTTACTATTCATTAATTAGTGTTTTACTGTCCAAGCATTTGTCTAAAGAAAAAATTGTACTGGGGGAATGAAAATTTTTGTGTCCAAAGTAATGTCATAATTTGAATTGACCGCCATTTTTCTAATGTCAGTGTGCCTTGACATTTGTCAAGTAGATATTTAGTGAATTATTGGTCAACAAGCCAGTCGTCCTACATTATAATGTACTGTGTGCCAACTGGAGTGATATACAACTATAGATGGTGCAAGTAGAGATGTGCTAACTCGTAATAAACATGACTTGAGTTAACTCGAGTTAGTCTAATATTGTTGGCCGCAGCTGGCCTTGACAGCTTCACCGAAATGTAGGGGTTATACAAAACGATATAGACCATAAGGAAATATTGGTTTAATTCAACTAAAATGCTAGTAAGATATACATGTTGAAATGTTACAATATGACAAGACAATAAAAAAACAAATCATAGTATTATAAAGAGTTTCTATACTACCACAAGGGGTGAGTGGAAATGGCACTTCAAACGCGTGGAAGGACTTACGCATGTCTGTCAACTCCTCGTATTTGAGTGCTTTGTAGCGAATAGCGATAGCAATCTCCCGAAACGCACCGTTCGGTTGCCAGCCCGCTACCGCTAGTTTCCGGACACAGAGCAGCGTACGTCCGGTATCTATTAATAGACAACTCGAGCTAGCCCTGCCGTAGCTTTTTCTGTATTTCCTACATATTTAAAATAAATCCGAGCATTTTTTACATTTTACGTCTATACTTGCTGGTGATTCAGGGATTTCCTCATAAGTCACGGAATTTATAAAAATGTACTTGGTGTTTAAAGGTAACAAACAAATGATAACTGACAACCGCTAATGCACCTAATCATTTTAATGATAACATAATCTCAAACCTAAAAAATATAATGAGAAATTTGTGACGAGTGAAAATGGTAAGACATAAAATGATCGGAAAGCTTCTGGTCATTATCGGTTCGACTTGTCATTCTCACGCTCTTTCACTTGAGTTCATTTACCGGTTGAATTCCCCCAATACGAGTTGGAAGAATTCAACTCAAGTTTCATTCAACAAGTTACAAATCAACCCTGGACAATTCATTAGAGTAAATGTATGTTCAATTCGTATTGGTCTCTAGTTTAATGTTATTGTATGCTTTAATGTTTTTGGATTATAGTATGCTTTTTAATCTCGGAGGCTAAATTGTGGTGTAAGTGTAAAATATTCAAATTTAGCGGTTTTGGGGTACAAGATATGGGCGCGTGAGGTTCTCAGGGTTTTTATGGTGAGATTTAAAGACTCTCTTATGGAAAGCTGTTTTATTTGTTAAAATACACAAAACTTTATGCAGACCAAATCGCGTGTGTCTTAACTAATTGTAAGGAATATACTACCAATCCTACTTGTTTTTTTTTCGGACTGCTCTAATGCTGTTGGCCGCAGCTGGCCTTTACTATTTTACCGGACGATCCTACTGATACAGTGGACATATTTATAGAATAGCGAGCGGGCGGGCGGCCGCAAGTGCTCCGGATTGGTCGGTCTGTTGCTACAGTGGTGGCATTCTTTGTAGTGAATGCCATTGGAGGTTATTTTAGGGAGGCAGGTCACCTCTCCCTTGAATTGTTATGAATTCTCATAGCTTTATTAAAATGTTTTTTGAAAATTTTAAGGTTAGGACGCTGTTTGCAAAATATATCTAATAGATTTTGGGGGGGAGGGGGTTTGGGGATACTCCTTACTTGGGGGGTTCACCCTTACTGAAGGAAATCTCCTTTGGGGGTTGTAGTTCGGTGTGGAGGACAGATGACCTTCGATCTGAGCGTACTAGTGACCATAGCTCCAGTTTTCTTTTGTTTTATCATTACACTCTTTTTTTTATCGTGTGGAAAAATCTTCAAAAGACCGTCACCCCGCCGGAGGGATGGCGAGGTGGTGTGTGGGACTTGTACCCACTAAAAAACCACACGGTGTATCTACGAGCGCCTATGCCGGAGCCAGGGGATTCGCAAGTGCATTCTACCCCAGCTCCGACGGCGACGGCCCGCCCTGTAGATGTTGTAGGGCAGGCCCCATCTCGTTTTGTGGTTAGGGCGACCATGGCCATGACCCTGTGTGGCCTGTTGAGGCAGGCCACATTTTCCCTACCTAGGGCCCCCACCCAGATGGGGGCCCCGTACAGGGCCATGGACCGCACCACGCCGAGGTATAGGCGGCGGGAACCTTCTCCCGGGCCCCTCACATTTGGCAGCAGCCAGCTACGAGCGCCGGCGGCTGCCATAAGGCGAGGGACCAGGTTCCGTGAGAACGTGAAGTGAGCGCGGAAGCTCCAACGACTGTCCAGGTCAAGCCCCAAGTATCGAATACAGGGCTTGACCCCCACCCTCTGGCCACTGACGACCAGCTGGGCATCCGGAGGTGGCGCACGCCGAGGCCCATGAAAACACAGGACCTCGGTCTTCTCCAGCGCCACCTGGAGCCCAAGCCTTCTTATAAAAAAAAATGTGGTCAAGTTGTGCCTTAACCATTTTGTGTGTTCCATCCTTGTCAAGGGGAGTGCTAACCGTCTCTCCTTTCAATAGACACTTATCATTACACTCTAACCTAACGTAACCTACGCATTTAATTTTCGACTGACATTTGTAAGGAATAAAAAAACGCCGAAAGGATGTCAAAAGTATTTTCCTAAGCTAAAACAATTATTTTCACGTATTTTAATTAAAATGTCAAAAATTACTACTTTCCGCAAGTTGAAATTTTAGTAGACTAACAAAAACAAGAACAATCAAAGGTAAAATTTTTGACTCTTAAATCGATTGTATATATTTTACAGGTTATCCCTATACTTTATTAATTTTGTTTTAATGCGTTTTTTTTTATTAATACACCCACACATTATTTCTCAGTGACCCATAAAAATCGGTAATAAATATTAGTTTCCGATAGTGTCACAACCCTAAAAACCGTAACAATAACAAGCTGGCAACATAGTTAAAGTGAAATTTGTCTCTGAAGCTTTTGAATAGTATAATTTTTGCTCTGAATTAAAAAAACCCGTTATAAATAATTGTATACACTGACCACTGTCAAATTCCCTAAAATACACTAAATCCATTACTGGTTTTATTATTCTATCACAATATTATATATGAAGTGAAAAAGTCTGTTAGGTTGCCGAAATGCATTCAATCACCGACCACCACGACGCACAAGTAAAGGAGGAGCCTTGGTACTCAGTATCAGATGTAGCGGCAGTCAATATACGGGGAGACAATCTGCATGTTACTGGTGACACTAAACAACAGTCGCTTCCACTAGATGAGGAGTATCGGCAATACAATGAAGGTAGAAGTACTGAAGAGGAGCAGTGGACTGAAACAGAGGGTAATGGGCAGGACGTAGATAGAGTAGTGGTTGTAAAGACTGAGTATGTTGATGAAAACGAAGAACCAGCAGATGTTAATGATATATTTTGTGGTGAGGTAAATGATAATGTCCTAGAACTGTATGAGGATCATGAAATAAAAAACGAGATGGTTATAGGACCTACAGTTGTACAAGTGGAGTCTAGTAAATGCATGAAGCATGATATACAAAAATCAATACAACAGAAGAGAAGAGGACCATCTAACAGTAAACAAGTCCATATGTGTGATATATGCAGGAAGACATTCAAGGATCATAAAACACTAAAAGACCATGTGTTATTGAAAAACCATGTTGTTGAAAAGCCATATAGTTGCAATGTTTGTAACAAATGTTTTAAAAACAAGAACTATCTACCCAGACACATGTTGGTACATTCCAATGAAAAACCATACAGTTGTGATGTTTGTAACAAATGTTTTAGATACAAGGACTATCTAAGCACACACATGCAAATACATACCAATGAAAAACCATATAATTGTGGTGTTTGTAACAAATATTTTAAACTGAAGAATACTTTGAAACAACACATGTTTGTACATACCAATGAAAAACCATATAGTTGCGATGTTTGTAACAAAGGTTTTAGAATTAAGATAAATTTAATCAGGCACATGTTTGTACATACCAATGAAAAACCATACAGTTGTGATGTTTGTAACAAATGTTTTAGATACAAGGACTATCTAAGCACACACATGCAAATACATACCAATGAAAAACCATATAATTGTGGTGTTTGTAACAAATGTTTTCGAATAAAGGAACGTTTAACCACACACATGCTTGTACATACCAATGAAAAGCCATACAGTTGTGATGTTTGTAACAAATGTTTTAGAACAAATAGTAATTTAACCATACACATGCTTATACATTCCAAAGAAAAGCCATATGGTTGTGATGTTTGTGACAAATGTTTTAGAAACAAGAACAATCTAACCAGACACATGCGTACACATTCCAAAGAAAAACCATATAGTTGTGATGTTTGTAACAAATGTTTTAATGTGAAGAGTAATTTAAACACACACTTGCTTGTACATTCA